ATTACTAAGTGACAAATTATCAGTTCACTGAAAGTTTATGTGAACACGAGACATCTTCTATATAAATAAAATTATTAGAGTTTTGTCTGTACATTATTTCTTAGTACGATCTAGGACTTGCCTGAAATATTGTGTAAAACAGTTGTACACAGTTACTGTTACGGGCTAGAACTAGCGTAAGATGTGTTGGTGGGATAGAAAAAGGTAGAAAATTACAGGTCGCGTGACTTTCTCTCAGTAACACTCTTAAATTGTATTTTAGCTTTTATTATGGTTTAAAACGCAATACCATAGATCCAAAATGTTATAACACACATATTCTTACTTTGTTCAGTTGAATTAAGGGTAGAGTCAGCGTAAAGAAAATTAGCAAAATACAGGGCAGATAGTGGCGTACACAGGGTAGTATTATAGATTAAACATAGTATTTAAAAGCTAAAAATAGATCGTCTAAGGAGTTTTCTTATCGAATAAATTCCTACTGTGTGTATTGATGTCATTATCATTGTTTTTCAAACGTGCTATTATCTCACGTCAAAAATGTGCTAGTATAATTAACGACTAGTGTACATGTTGCTCTAAATCGAGCAATTGCAAAGAAGTAAAGTAGTTATTTAAAAAACAATTATTAACTTATTTAAAAACGAATAAAAGTCATAATTTCCGATGAGTTTAAAAGACTAAACTCATAGATGGGACGTACCTAACATTTCCATATAATAGCCTAAACATTTCTTGTAAATATTTTACCATTTTTCAAAAGCTGATCTGGTTTTTAGTGTATTCTACAAATTTTTCCCACTTATAGCCAGATTAGGTAGTCCATGTTGATCTTCGTCAATGATAACGTAGTCAGCATGGTACTACCCATGGTCACCAGTACGTTTACAAATTTCAGTAATTTTTTATTGAGATACAATTTTGTTTTTACAATAGGTACTTAAGAACTGCCTGATTTTCTGCATAACCTCTCTGTCACAATTTTAATTGCCTCAATTGGCATTAATTTGGCTAGTTACTGTTATACGTAAGTTATATTTACCTGAAAATATGCAGAATTGTAAGGCCTAATGTTGTTCAGATGGGTTTTTGTTTCCCTTGAATGTGAATAATGCGAATCCTACAATGCAAGTTTTATTAAGGTTTCTTGGATGTAGTCATATTATTTTAAAATCACTTGACTTTTATGAAAACGTATATAATGTCCTTGCCGTTCCAGTTTAATTCGGCCTTAGAGGGGTTTCCTTTGCAAATCATCATAAAGTTAAGTCCGTGTTTCCTACAAAATAGTAGCACTTCCGATAACATCCTTGTTCATTGTTTGTGGGAATCTTCATATTGTAGACTGTGTTCTTCTTTATATAGGATAATAACGATAGTATTTTTTTTAAAATCTCGATTTCTGCTACTTGGTGGCGTTCTATGACTTTCCTATGTTTCCATGGTTAACGAATCAGTTCTTTCAATTATTGCTCAAGAATTACAGTACCCTGTCAATTAATTATTACTATTTGGTAAAATAAATCAAATTGTCCAGGCTTTCTCGATTTTTTTACATTGTACTCGTAATATGTACGAATGTAAATTAAAATAACTAGCTGTTACCCACGGGACTCAACCAGTTTGACTTCATAAATATTTGATTGATTAAGTTAAGCTGAAATGAACAAAACAGAATACAGTAGTACAAACAAATAATCACCCCTGATTTAATGTACAAATAAGTACAGTTGAGTTCTTTTTATCATTTAGGTATTTATGAAATAATGGATAGTTTTGCACTAGTTTTCTCGTCATGACGAACATTTTAAGTATATAGTTTATAGGGGTGTGACTTGTAGTTTTCTCAAAAGCTCATGGGTACTTTGGGCTTTATATGGATAAATATTTAATTTCCACAAAATCAGTAAATGTAACCAATGCGTTTCGTTGAATTGAAAAACAAATAACACAATTAAATTATACAGCTGATGTAAACAATATTATGTACTTCTTAAGGATAACATGGGAACTTAAAAAACCACTAGGGCAGAGGCCAAGGGACTTAAAAAAAAATGTTAGGCCAGTTAGCAAATCTACGCAACATGCTCTTTCCAATGAGACGTCAATGGATAAAATTGGTTAAGAAATGGCGGAGGATTCAACCGACAAACTTCGTGTTCGCGTATTAATTATATAGATTTCATATGTGCATGAAATGTTGGTGTGAAACCAACTTGTAGACCTTTGAAGTAGGGGCTATATTTATCCCCAAAAAGTATCAAACGCCAAGCTCCTGAGCAAATCTTTTCTATCACTTTAAAGTTTGTTTCGTGTTTTTAGTCTTCACGTACAGATACTTAAATGTTTGTATTAAATTGTTAGCAATCATAAATCGTGGACAGAATTTTCCACAAAAGATAAATACAATATATTTAAACACCCTAGAACTCCTTAGAGTAACATAAAAAAAATATTTTTTGTTAAGGCTTCGTCATAATGTAAAAAATACTCAATACAACAAATTCATTAATTTTACATAAGTAAACGTTGATAGTTGTGTGCGTATTGTATTTTTTATACATCTTCTGTATACATCTAGTCCTCTATATTTTCTGTGTACACAAATGCTTTTGTATACAATTTATTTTGCAGCTCACAGTAACTGAGAAATATTTTAAACGGGTGAATTGTTTTTATAAATGTTTGCCATTATTTCTCAACCCGTGCTTAAAAAATTAGTGACTCGTGGATAAAGCCAGATACCAAATTTAATCTAAATCGGACCACAGGTTTTGTCTGTAGCTCTGTATCTGGATCATACAAGTGTGTATTATATAACCTGATATTAGTCAAAATATGTTTTATTCTATAACGTTTAATTTAATTAAACATAAAAGTCATGCTCCCTCCATTTTTAAAGTATTCAGTCCAAAAATGTAATAAATTTACTTGTGCATACATATTTATTTCGTTTTAATAAATAATTGAGGTGATGCAATACACTTATGTAGGCAGTCGCAGCAGTCGAAGCCGGGCATAGCGCCTAGAGTTTTACGAACGCAAACCGCGCAACGAGTAGCTAAATGAGCCGTAGAGTAAGTGAGCCATCTAATATTTTGAAGAGGGTTCACTTACTCTACGGATCATAGTGCCAATGAACTGTAGAGTAAGTGAGCCATCTAATATTTTTCTGCAGGCTCGTATAGTATACGAGCCTATTCCTATAATTTATATTATTCATTATTTTGGCTCGTATACTATACGAGCCGATTCCTGAATTATCAAATAATTCGTAAGCTTGGCTCATAGTCACTATGATCTGTAGAGTAAGCGAACCTTCCTACTGTATTTTTAAATATAATACACGAGGCTCATAGGCACAATGATTTGTAGAGTAAGTGAACCCTCTTCATTTATTTTTTATTTTCGATAGGCTCGTATAGTATACGAGCCTGTAGTGCAAGTGAACCTTCAATATTATTTACAAAGCTCGTATAGTCTATGATCTGTAGAGTAAGTGAGCTGTCCCCCTTACTGCTATACCAACCTAACAAAATCAGCGACTCGCTTTTGACAGACTTCTGCCATGGCAGTGCTACCTCCAGTTATAATTTTAGCTCAGTGACACCGATGCAGCTTCTTCCCTTTCGCTTATCCCCTCCCCTCTCACCACCAGTCCAGTCCAGTGTCAGAGTCAGTCTGGAGTCAGTCTCCCTCTCATAAATAAAAGGTTTATGGTTATGTTGTTATGGGAATGGGAGTAATTTAGGGTATTTACTCAAGGGAGGTATAGAAGAGCCTTCAATGACGTCAGCTGTCAGATATCCTCTTGAGTCTTGAGGGAACACAATTACCGCAACGATACGGAATACAGTCAACAACCTCGGTGGTGTAGAGGATAACGTGTCGGCCTGATAATCCGAAGATGCCGGGTTCGAATTCCGCTGGCAGCCCTAACTTTTTGCCAACAATTTTTTTCATATCAGCAAGTTTGGTTGGTTTGGTTAGGCTATGACAGTTTTCGCTACGCTCACTCACCTTTAGGTTGGGGCTCGTTCGCTGCGCTCACTTGCCTTCAGGTTAGCTCGTTCGCTACGCTAACTCGCCTCCAGGTTGAAGTTCGTTCGCTACGCTCACTCACCTTTTGGTTGCAAGTTAGCTGTTATCATAAATTTAAAAAAAATATATAGTGCTGCACCCTGTTGGTAAACCTATTAACTTTTTAATGCTATTGAACATCACAGAATCAGATAGTTTAGTTGAACCAGCTGTTAAGATTCTTTAATTCCATTTAAATATGAGTACTCATAAGGTTAACATGGTAAACTCCAGAGCCACTGGGGCGGAGCCATTTTGACGGATCTGCACCAAACTTCACACAAACCATCCTTGAATAATGCTTAATAATGCCTGAAAGTTTCATTACAATCTGTCGAGCGGTTTCGGAGTCCATAAAGGACAAACATACAAATATACAAACATACAAATATACAAACATACAAATATACAAACATACAAATATACAAACATACATTGGATTTTATATAAATAATGCCTGAAAGTTTCATTACAATCTGTCGAGCGGTTTCGGAGTCCATAAAGGACAAACATACAAATATACAAACATACAAATATACAAACATACATTGGATTTTATATATATAGACTAGGCCTAATAGTGAAGTAAAAATTACGCGCTGTGCTCTCTACTACAACGCTGTTAACGGAGGAATTTTGAACTAAACTATGATGTCATCGTTGCCTCATTATTACCTCCCTTAAGTCACTCCCGTGATTTTTAGGCTGTTTGGCTGTTTCGCTCTTCGCTGTTTGTTACACATAGGCCTAGCCTACACAATGTAAACAAGCCTAGTTTTAAATTGTATGCATGATAAGTAAAGATTTGTTGCTCGTTGCTGACTCGTTAAAAAGGGTTTATAATTAGTGATTGAATCAATAAAATAAAGTTAGTTTGAAGAGTGAAGCACTTTAAACAAGTGAACTTTAAGTAGGCCTAATTTCTTGGCCCATAAATTGTTTTAAAAATGGGAGGCCATCATACCTGTAAAGTTATGAGCTGTAGGTCGAGAAAAGACCCTAATAGAATCTACCACAGGTAAGTTACGTTCATTTTCCCTATGATTGTCTTAGGTTTTAATATTACGCAGAGGATATGCGTCCGGTGACCGGTCGTGGATTAGGCGTCCGGCAGTTACTGTCATCATAACCTAAGTAACCGGGTACAGTTTCTTAACTGGGCTAGGCTAGGCCTATGCTAATACCGATTGAAACTATCGATTTGATTAGTAAACTAAACCTTGATTCGATTTTTTTGCTAGGCCTATCAGCAAGTTTAGTTAGTTAGCCTAGGTTAGGTTATGACGGTTTAATATTATAATTGATACAGTAGCTTATGGTAAAATATTGATTATTAAACTATATTTTCAATTCGATAGTTTCAATCGATATTAGCATAGCCCAGTTAAGAAACTGTACGGTAGGCCTACTCAATGTTAAAGCTAAGCCTATCGATGGGATTCGAACCAGGGACCTCTTGCATGTCAGTAGAGCACTCTATCCATTACACCTGAAACACTGATGGCTGTACATGATCATTGTGGTAACGGTGTTCCGGGCCCCCTCAACCCGGTGACATCACTGCCGGACGCCTAATATACGTCCGGTTACCGGATGCGTATCCTCTGTGTTAATATTATCTTTAATTCTGCTTTATAGATTAGGCCTAGGCCTACTTAGATCGGTTCAGCGATTCCAAAATCATTTGCTGAATCCCAGTGGTAGGTGTTTAGGCCTAATATTTTACTTAAGTTAGATAAGCCTAGCCTACTTAATTCAGGTGGGTTGCGGCACAGAAAACATAGGCCTACTACTATAACCCACTACTAGGCCTAAACTACTAGGTATAATGGCTGGTGGCGCTGCCTACGAACTGACAGGCAAAGCTCTCTCAAAGTACTTAACGCTTTTTACTAATGCGGTTGGCATTCTAGGTTATAGTAAACTTATGTTAGTACGTTTTCTGTGGTCGCGTTAAGATGACTTTTATCAAACATTGCACATGTCACTTACAGATCAGGGCCTGACAATTGTGTAAGTATTAGGCCTAGGGCTATTTCAGTAAGATAACTTAAACCTGAAATGTTGGTTTAGAAGTACCCTAGGCCTGGATATGATTCAATTCAGAAATACTTTAAATTCATCTCTTGTACATAGAATACATTAATATTTTTCTTTTTGTTCTTACAAGTACACAGTTTTAGAATTTTTTTGGGATCTGTCAATAATTTAAATTTGTTCCTTGTAATGTCATGATAGAAAATATATAATAGTAACTTAGGCCTATATTCTTTTGTATGGTATATCTCAATTTACAGATCTTAAGTAGGCTAACTTATGTACAGTTAAAAATGGCCTGCCAGTAGGCCTACAGAGATTTGTAGCTGGGCTAAAATAGGCTATGTGAATACATCAATGAGCTCTAATCCTTATGGAAATCTAGAGTCACTACTCTTAGACCAAACATTTGTGAAAAGCGTGCTGCAACGTTTAAGGTTGCCAAATTGCTATGTTGTGTTTGTGTTGGGCACTAAAATATTAGGCTATTTAACCTAACTTACATTAAATAGAAATTTTTTATTGGAATGAAAATTTCATCCATCCAGTAACATTATTTAGTTTCTTTGCAAAACTGAATTAGGTTAGCCCGTTAACCTAATTTGTTTTTTTGAATATAATGCGGAGATGATGATCAATAAGTTCACTGTGCCAAAATACGGATTTTGTACCGATGTCTTGTGATTAATGTACAATATGAACAGTTTTTTTTATCAACAGTAACTAAACGTTTGACTAAAACACGTCCGGCACCATGGATAACCCCAGAAATCCGCAGATTAATGGCTAGACGTGATTGTATTTTTAGGAAAGCTAAACGTTCTCAAAACCAAACAGAAATGGAACAATATCGTTATCTTCGAAATAGAGTGAAACAGCTTTTGAGAAATTCAAAATTAAGACACATCCGTATGCTTTTTGAAAATAAAAATCAATCCTCTAGGGTTTTATGGCGCAATGTAAAAAGTCTTGGGCTTGGGAAGCAGTCTGAACCACAGAGAGTGAATGTCCCTCTCAATGAATTAAACGCTTTCTTCTCTTCATATGGTCAAAATATCGACCAACAACATGTTGTAAATTACATAAACGAAATCAGAAACCTCCCTGATCAGGACCTAGGACATCCTAAGTTTACTTTCAGACCTGTAGTGCAATCAGATTTTCTTAACGCAATTTGTCGGATTCGTAGCAATGCAGTCGGATCAGATGGCATTCCAATTCGTTTTATAAAAGACATTCTCTTTGCTATACTCCCAACTGTCACATGCATTTTCAACACATCACTAAGGCAAAGTGTTTTCCCTATTTCTTGGAAGTCTGCCCTTATTCGTCCATTAAATAAGATCCCAGCCCCGGCATCTTGCCAGGATTTCAGGCCGATCAGTATATTGCCCGCATTATCAAAAGGCCTTGAAAGAATTGTGCACTGCCAAATGACGGAATTTCTGACTGACAACAACATACTTTGCAGCTTTCAGTCTGGTTTTCGAACGGCACACAGCACAGAAACAGCACTATTGCGTGTGACGGACGACATTAGACAAGCAATGGAACGTCGGCAGGGTACAATTCTAACACTATTTGATTTTTCGAAAGCTTTCGACTGCGTAAATCATAATCTTCTTCTGGAAAAGTTAAGGGCCATAGGGTTTTCAAATGGTGTATTGGACTGGCTGGGATCTTATCTGTCAGGCAGGCGGCAATGTGTTGAGGTTGATGACGTACGATCTGACTGGGAGACAGTTACTTGTGGTGTGCCTCAGGGGTCAATCCTTGGCCCTCTACTGTTTGTACTATACATAAATGACCTGAGCTCAGTCCTCACACACTGTAAATACCATATGTATGCCGACGACTTACAGATTTATACGCATTTCTCAGCAAAATATATCAATGACAGTGTTCTAAAAATCAACGAAGACATCGAGAAAATCATTACCTGGACTGAAAAACATGGACTTAGACTAAACCATACAAAAAGAAGACCAATAATAATTTGTCATTCACGTTTACGAAACTCAATTGACCTTGACACAGTGAACTCAGTAACTATAAATGGGACAGCTTTACTTTACTATGACAAAGTGAAAAATCTAGGACTTACTATAAACTCGACGCTTACTTGGGGAGATGCAGTATTAGACATACGTAAAAAGGTGTTTGCATCAATCCACTCACTGAAGAAGTTACAGAATTTTTTACCTTTACACATAAAGTTACACCTAGTAAAATCACTTGTCTTCCCTCACTTCACTTACTGTAACTCTGTGATCAATGACATGACTGTAAATCTCGCTGATGCTCTCCAACGCACTCAGAACTACTGTATAAGATTTGTTTATGATCTGAGACGTATTATGTTGATTCTAAATTACTAAAACTATGTGACCTAAGATCAATAAAAATTCTTATGATAACCTATTCAATATTAAAAACAAAATTTCCAGAATATTTTTTAAACGACTTCAAATTTGTAGCTGAAGAAAGTGTAAGAAATTCACGTTCTGCTTCAGTAACTTTGCGTATGCCTCATCATAGAACGGCAGTTTATGACAGAGCGTTTGTTGTTTCTGCTTGTCGCCTTTGGAATGATCTCCCTCTAGCCATAAAAACCCTTGATAGCCGTCCCCGGTTTGTGACAGCACTAAAAAATCTGTTTTCTGGACGTATGGCCATGGTTGGTATATCCTAGGCATGCGCTTGGTTGATCACTGACAGGTGTGCGTGTGTGTGTGCTAGTTCTTGCGAGTGTGTGTTGTGTGTGTGCGTGTACGTGTGTAGGTGTGTGTGTGTGTGGGTGTTTATGTAAGGTGGTATGTTTTAAAAGTTTATTGTTTCTTTTTACATTAAATATTGTAAATAGATTATAGTATTTTATTTGTATTGTACATTGTTTTGTTTTATTTGTATGTTTAGATTTGTATAAACAGGTTAAGTGTAAGAGAGGGCCATGTGGCCCTAACTTTGCCTGACTAAATAAATCATTTTCATTTCATTTCATTTCATTTCATTTCATTTCATTTCATATGTAGAAGTAATTACCGGTACTTAAATAATTTACTGAAGCAAAATAGTGCTAACTTGTTAAAACATATTTATACAATGAATCGATGAACATCTTTTTACACTGTATTTTGTGACACATATAAAATTTTAGAACGCTCCTACCACAGGATTGGTTCTTTTCAAAATTGAGTACAGTAAACAGCAAAGTTTTTATTGTAACTACCGGTACTACTCGAACACATCCTCAATGCCGAGTTCTTTAATTCCCTTTACCACTTGATGATGTGTCAGTTAAATGTTGCTGTTGTGTGACCTATTTGATCAGACGCCAGCAGACGAGTGGCGACTGCCGCTCGTTGTTTGTCACCGTGTACAAAACTGGTCTGTTTTTGCTTCCATGATGCCATTTATACATTGCTTTAGAAGAGTTTCAATCATTTTAATAGAATTTTAATTTTATACAATAGGCTATTGTATTAAGTGATTATTTTGAGTCATTTAACAGGTTCAGTCCCAGCCGTTACACTCCTCTGTATGTATGGCTTCCCTCCACACGGGAGTGATTTTGTGTGTTAAAGCTAGGCTAGCTAGCATAACTTTTAAAATTAGCCATCATAATGGAATTTTAAGTATTTTAAAATAAACTTACCGGTACCTACTCGATTCTATTTCCAGATTCCCGCTGAATCCTGAAAGACGCAAGCAATGGATAAAAATTATAGGCCAAAAAAGCACAGAGATTGGCGTAAGTTCTCGCATTTGTTCAAAACACTTTCTAATTAAAGACTATTATGTTGGGGGGAAAAAATTGATCCCAACTGCCGTTCCTGCTTTACATCTGGATGACAGTACAACATTAAATGATTTAAGCAGGAACAGCTTTAAAAGGTCAAAAAAGTCCACAAAAGCTGTTGGAGGTCCAATATCAAGTCAAATAAAAGAAAACCAACCTTCTAAACATCTTGGGGAAACAGTTCAACCAACTATTAAATTGGACACTTTAAAGCTTAAACTCGCCTCAAACTTCAATAAGGAAGCTTCCAATATAAAGATAGAAGAACAACCAAAAGGAAAAAAATGCAATGCGAATTCAAATGTGACAATTGGCAAAAACATTACCAAGAACAGTAATACATCTTTGGAAGAGATAGATTCCTTAGTTACAAGGTAAGTTTCAGGACGTAGGTACCTTTATGTTACATACTTACTTAGGCTACTCTTACTTCCATGGCCGTCGACACCCAAGGGCAGCGGTTCCCATACCATGCAATTTTGATGGGTCGCGGGAAAAGACCAAACATAACATGTTTTTTTACCAGGACTCAAAGTTTTTGGGATCAAAAATATACAATATTGTGCTATATGCAAAAAGCCAATCTAGGCTAATCTTATTTTGGGAAAAATCTTTACGACATGTAGATTATCATGATGTTGAATAGGCCTATGCTGAAGATGATTATGACGTCACCGTGATTGTAAGAGAAGGTCACGTTAGTGCCTCGATTAGGTACTGATTATAGTTAGGATGGATTTGTGCTGCTGACCTACGGGGTAATTGGCCTTGCCAAATAGCCTAAATGCCTCCACTTCTTTTGATCCTCAGTATCATCTTCTATGATTCTCATCTTCCTTATATCATTGGACCCTTCATCTCTCCACCCCTTTGTGGGACTCCCAGATTTTTTACAAAAGGGTTTTCTTTTACAACTGCTTTATCAATTCATTATCTTGATGTCAAATACAGTTAAAAATATATGGAAAGCCTAAATACCCTAAATTTGGGTAGTTGAAAAAGTACCAAATACGCCTATAACAGGTTGTGTGAGTTGTTATTAGTCTACTAAATAGAAGTATTTTTTAATGTTAATCTACTTAACACTTTAAAATCCTTATAGGCCTGTAAAACATTAATGGTGTTGTCTTTACTATGAAATATGAGTTACGTTGCTTCTATTTCTAAATGAACCTGATGCCAGGTGTTCAATTTATTTTGTGAATTGACTACAGTACAGTAGACTCTCAGTAATCCGGCAGATATAGGACCGCCATACTGCCGGATTAGTGAAAATGCCGGATTACTGGAATGTTATCATTAAAAACACTTAAAATGCAATTAAAACACGTCTCCGAAGTTTGCGTGATCGGAAACCGCTATTGCCGCGATCGGGCATGACAATTACGTATTCGCGGGAGGCGATGATAAAGTCTACACGTCCGCGGGAGATAATCATTGCCGCCATCGCGCATGACGACGATGACGTTTTCGTGACCGCGGGAGATGTTCATGATTTTGCCGCGATCGCTCAAGTCGACGATGACATTTCCGATACTGCGGGAGTCGATGATAACGTCTATACGTCCGCGGGAAATGTTCGTGATTTTGCCGCCATCGCGCATGACGACGATGACGTTTCCGTGACCGCGGGAGGCGATGATAACGTCTATACGTCTGCTGGCGATGTTAAGGAATTTGCCACGATCGCGCATGACGACGATGACTTTTCCGTGACCGCGGGAGATGTTAATGATTTTGCCGCGATCGCGGAAGACCTCCCGTCAAAAGACGCCGGATTACTGGAGTGCCGGAGTGGTGCAGTGCCGGATTAGAGAGGGTCTACTGTACTAGCAATCCCATAGTTTAATCTAGGCCTAGTTCTTTCCCTTTTAATTTAACCTACAGTACAAGAGAAGAAGTGTTCAAAAAGCAAAATACTTGATTTGGGATGCAACTCAAAGAGAATTCACTTATCCTGTCAACTTTTCTATTCAAGCCATCCACCGTTTATATTATTAGGTAGTTCTCTTCCTCCTAATTTTTTCAAAGACAGGCGAATTCCCGAGGTTTAAACCCTCAATCTATAAAGGCACTGGGAGTGAAAATTTAAAAACGTACATTTTCAAAAAAAGCAAAATTATAGAATAATTTTTTACTCTTTTTCGGAACGTTTTTTATTTTTTTAAATTTCATTTGCATTTACAGTACTTAGTATGATTTGATAATTTTCCTACTAATTTATTGTATGTGTTTTTCTATTACAGAATTAAAATAGGTCGAGAAAATATTCCTCTAAACAAAAGAGTATCCAAATTATGTGTGGATGCTACAAACCCTAATTTGAAGATTAAACCTGGAGAAACAACTACATCAGTTAATGTCAAAACCAATTATCGGTCTGGAGGTTTAAATCACGGTGCAAGTACACCACCCTCTTTAGGTCACATTGATAATAAACCACTAGAATCACTACCTAAAAATCATGACCGTATCAGCAATTTTTCAACTGATGGTTTGGTTAATGACCACCACGCTAAATCTCAGAAACGTTCTACAAAAGAAATCAAAGCCTCTTTCTCAAAATCTCTTGGAAAATCCATAGATGAAAAGGCAAAAGCTCAAGAAATTCTTTTAAATGAGATGAAGCCAAACAACAAAACCAAACCATCAGAATCAATAACGGAAGAGACAGCTGCGCCATCAAATAATCCTAAAACAAGAACTAAAAGAACTGTTAAAAAAAGAAAAAGATTATTGTCAGAGAGTGAATCTGAAAACGATTCTGATTCCCTAAAAAGTCAGTTCAACCAAAGTAAACAACAAACAAACAAGCAAAAAGTCCAACCAAAGATAATAACAAAAGAAATAAACAAATCTCATAGTAGTATGTGTAGTACCAGTAGTAAGAATTTGTCAGAAATAGAGAAGACAATGGTGATGCAAAATAAAATTCAGTTGTTGGAGAAAGAAGCAATTTTGGATGAGAAGAAGATAGAAACATTTAAAAAGACTTTGTTAGCTCAAAAAAATTCTGACTTACAAATATTGATGGACGGGAAGGAGAATGAGGTATGTTAATGTTAAAACCTATTCAGGATAAAGTTACCTGTGCTTATATTTTCACTAGCAGAATACCCGTTCTTTGTAGGGGGTTGGTGTATAATTATAAAATGCTTATTACAGTTATGGTTTAAGAAAATTTGTTAATTTTAATTTACAGTATGCTATAGTATATCACATCTACCTTAGCTGTACCGTTTTACCACTGCCCCTCAACAATAAAATACCCCCCTGCTGCAAACCTGCTCACTAAGCGAATTTCCATCCGTCTGAATTGATTTTCAATTAAATCTATTTAAATGACATTAGGTTTTACGAGAACATAGGTTTGCTGGTACTAGGAAACTAATAAAGTGTGTGTTTAGTCAAGTATTAATAGCTTAGTATAAAATAAATAAATTTGCCAAGTTTGGTCAAAATATAGGCCTATCCATAAACAAACAAACTACAACATTTTACAATATTCTCCATAAGAATAACATGGAAATTTTAAATTAAAAATTTTTTTTCTCCTATTTTTTTATTTTTGCTAAATTTTAGTAGGTAAAACAATTTTGTAGACCTCAATATTAACTGGGATATGGCCCAACAAAGTTTGATTTTTTTACTATCTTTGCCATTTAGTTATTTTAAAAACTCATCAATACTAACATCTTGGAATACCTATTACACCCGTCATGCACTCACAAAACACTTTCGGTGGAAACTTGGTCAAATTTTGTCCAGAAGTTTTCATTAAATAGCTGCAAATATACAGACACATATATTATGTAAGAACAATTTTGGATGAAAGAAATCCCAAAACGTAAATACAAAAATTGATTTATTTTAACAATCAATATACTTTCTATATATATATAGATAGATATATATTAGCAGCGGAAAAGCAAAGATTGACATTTTCCAATTTCTAAAATTTCCAATGATACCAACAAGATTAACTTCAAAACCATGCTGAAGAGTGAACCAAGTGGAACCATGCTGAGTGTTGTGGAAGCCAAGGAAATCAAAGTGAAGCAGGCAGAAGAAGCCGCCGATGTAATGATTGTGGAGACTGCTGTTTCAGCTGCTGACATGTATGATTATCATCCATAACAGGGGAAGACATAGACCTTCTTGTGCTACTCACTGCTTTGGGTTCTTCAAAAAAGAACGTCTATTTCCATAAGAGTGGAAAGGATAACAGCTCAACTGTGCTGTATTCAGCCCACTCGGTCAAGCACGAACCTCAGGATATTGTTTTCCTGCATGCGGTAAGTGGGTGTGACATAACTTAAGTACCCTTTGGAATTGGAAAGAATAGGGTTATGCAGATGTATAGTAAGATCACTAGCGTTTCTGAGATTCTGGTGATTTTTAAAGACCTCGAGGCAACTCCAACTCAAATCACTGACGTTGGAGAGAAATTCCTTGTAAAACTGTATGGAGGGAGAGAGCTTGATACCCTCGAAGAACTATAAAAAATTATAAATACCCCCGCCGCAGCAAACCTGCCGACTAAGCGAATTTCCATTTGTCTGAATTGATTTTCAGTGAAATATATTTTAATAACATTAGGTTTAACGAGTACCTAGGTTTGCTGCTACAAGGAAACTAATAAAGTGTGTTTTTGAGTAAAATATTGATAGCTTAGTACAAAATAAATAAATTTGCCAAGTTTGATCAAAATATACCCATAAACAAGCAAACTACAACATATGACAATATTCTCCATAAGAATAACATGGGAATTTTAAATTTACAATTTTCTTTAATTTTCTCCGTTACTAATAATCGAACAAAAATACTTTTATATACTAAATTATTTGTTTTTTTAAGCTCTTTAAAAGGGTCTAAAGAGAAATCGGTAAATTTTGTGTTTTGAGGGTCAAAAGTGAGAAAAACCAATTTTTACCCCATAAAACCCCCCGTAAAGCCCCGTTCCCATGGTCCGATCGTGCTGGTTCGCGAACTCATCCAAGTTTATCCCGCTTTACACCTTTAAACCAAATTTCATCAAAATCGGACAAAAATTACTCAAGTTATCGCGTTCACGGACGTATATATATATAAGTCTATATATATATATATATATATATATATATATACATATATAAAAATTTGAACGAATGGTGTTTTTGGCCTCTGGGGACATCAAAATGAAAAAGTAAATCGGTCCCGGGTCTAGGTCTTACCGTGCCACCTATGGTAATAGCTACTTCCCTATAGGGAAATTCGCTAAAAGTAAGAGGTACAGCATTTTTTCCACAGCCGTGGCAAAGTCGAAATGTCAACTTGCAAGACTGCCACCAACCAGAAATGCAGCCCAAGTATCACTTATTCAGAACTGACCTGCAAATACAAGTGTGGATGGGAAGCCAAGGGTGCCATCAGAAATTGCCTTCTGCATGGGGATGGAAGCTAACCAAACGAGGTGTGGTTCCCATCACCACAACGATGGACACTGCTCCAGAACAGCTGCTTGACATTATCAGCTGTGTGCACGACTGGTTGTGCCTCTGCAAGCTGCAGCTGTAAACAGACTGGTCTGTTGTGCTCTGCAATATGCAAGCACTGCTTAGGTACATGATGCAAAAACTCCCCTCAACCTGACACAAACGAAAATGACATCGATGACGAATGTAAGGATTCCACTGATCTCCCCCTTACTTTTGGTACAAGGCTCGAGAAGGATGGGTCCATGGACCCAACAATGAGGATGACGACAATAAAGGTCCGGCTGCCTCCAAACGCTCCAAAGTTTTCAAAGCCATTCGCATTGTGCATTTCTGTTTAAAATTATTTTATCTGTAATCCTACAATTATATTGGCTATTTATGATTATGTTTTGTTGTAAATAAATATTACATTTATTTTACTTTCTATTTTAATTCTTGGTTGGTAATTCTTCATTTTAAACTACGTTGATCTACGTTAATAGAGATTCAAGATTTAAACTATGTTATTAAAATTTTGGGATTTCTTTTGTCCAAAATTGTTTATACATAACATGTGTCTGTATATTTGCAATGATTTAATGAAAACCTCTGCACCAATTTTGATCAAGTTTCCTCCGAAAGTGTTTGGTGATTGCATGTGAGGGGGGGGGGGGGGGGGGGGTAATAGGTATTCCATGATGTAAAATAACTACATGGCAAAGATAGTAATAAATAGTTATAGGGCCGAACCTCTCCGTTTCCAACAATTGGCTTACATAAAAAAAATCATACCTTGTTCTGCCGTATCCCAGTTAATATTGAGTCTACAAAATTGTTTCATCAACAAAAATTTTGAAATTTTTATGCTCTACAACTTTGTAATTCACAATGGTACACAAAATATGCTTAGTTTACAATTTATAACACACAAAACATAAAAAATACCGAACATTTTGAAGTTTTTGGCCCCTCTTAAAGAAGTTAGCACAGGGTGCTAGAGGTTGAAAACTCAGGATATACATCCCAGAGTACCCCCAGGCAACATGTAAAAATTCCATCAAGTTCGGAATACTTTCCAGCTACGCCCACTACTTTTTCATTATATCGACTGGACTACCAGGGATAGACTGAAGTAAGTCGCACTATGTAGTTGTGTGGCGTTATGCATCAGAGTTTAGCTATCATAAGGGGTTTAAATAAAATAAAATAAAACCAATTAGGATTTATTTTGCTGAGTACTTATGAGAAAATCTTGTATTGAAGATATGTTGATAACTAGACCCAAGATTTTTAATTGTAGAACGATAATTAATGAAACTGTTTTATATTGAAGCTACTGCTGCGTATGGACTCATTGTACCTTGAGTATGATCCACGAAGGATATGCAGATTGTGTCTCCACTTAGTGGAGAGAAAGGAAGATCTAACTCCTCTTTTTTGGCCAGTGAAAAACCATGTTTTACTCTCCCTCATCCAACAGGCAACAAATGTTGAGGTATGATATGACAAACTATCTTTTACTGATCCATTCACAGTGTCTTACCTGATTAATGTGATTTAGATGTTGGTTAATGTTTTTAAAACGTGACAGGGTTTTTTATTTCATGATTCTGAGTCAACCACTAGACAGATTTTCATGATTTTTATAAAGATAATTTGAAAAACTAGGGAATGTCGAAGCCATAATTTTAGTTTAGGTTTTCAGTTTTTTAGGAATTATGTTTTAATTTTCAAAAAGTCAAGCAGCCTACGCTAATATTCTAGACTAGTTTTTGGTATAATACCATTTGCTTACCGTAACAGCTGTAAACAAACATTCAGCGTTTGTGACACACATTCACTATTTGGATAAAAATGAAATTACATACATAGGGTTGACATATTCATACTATGTGTAATGCTATAATCATTTATTAGGCAAGGCAAGAAGATGACAAATTATTTAAAAATACATAGTAACTTTTGATGTTCTAATTTATTTTTTAGAGGAGTCTTTAAAAACTTGGGTTTGTATTAGTGAAATATAATTTGTTTGAACTTACAGCTGGATGGATAAGTGATAGCATGCAATGGAAGATAAAGTATGTAGCTACTGTACTTCAAACCAGTGTCTGTGAATCGACCGCAAAAAAAAAAAATCTTCAAGGCTTTTCTAATCAACAATATCCCTGTTTTAATGTAAAACTATAGGATTTAAAATGCATATTGTATAGGCCTGTAATAATTGTATGAAAGAAATAGGTGATCACGTGATATTTGTTTACAAGATGATTTTCCCTATTTAAACTGTCAGAATTTTTCTTTATGCATGTAAACTAGCTGTTTGAATTACAAATCTTTTTTTTACAGGTGGAACATGAAGACGGAATGCCATCAAGCATCTGCACGGAATGTGTTGAAGAAGTCAGGAGAGCAGACTGGCTGAAGCGGCGAACACAGAAATCTAATTCTATGATTAAAAAGTTTGTCGCTTTAAAACAGGTAATCTATATAATTAATACACTACATGAAACTTTGTCGGTTGAACTCCTCCGCCATTTCTTAACCGATTTTATCCATTGACGTCTCATTGGAAAGAGCGTGTCGCGTAAATTTGCAAACTGGCCTTACATTTTTGAAAAAGTCCCTTGGGCTCTGCCCCAGTGGCTTTGAAAGTTCCCATGTTATCCTTATGAAGAACATAATTGTTTACATTTTGATCAGCTGTATGATTTAATTATTTATTTTTCAATTCAATGAAACATATTGACTAAATCTAATATATAAAATTCTCGTGTCACAGTGTTTGTCTGCAAACTCCCCCGGAACGACTTCACCGATCGTTATGAAATTTGGTGTGTAAATTCTGTAGGTATGCGAATCGGACGTAAACTATTTCCCGTTTCGAAATTCTTAAAAGGGCTCCGCCCCAGTGGCTCTGGAGTTTCCCATGTTAACCTTATGAGAAATGGAATTAATGAATCTTAACAGCTGTTTCAATTAAACAAGTTGGTTCTGTCCTATGATGTTCAATAGCATTAAAGTTACAAGGATTACCAACAGGGTGCAGCACTATTATTTCTTTTACATTTATGACAACAGCTAATTTGCAACCAAAAGGTGAGTGAGCGTAGCGAACGAACTTCAACCTGGAGGCGAGTGAGCGTAGCGAACGAGCTAACCTGAAGGCAAGTGAGCGCAGCGAACGAGCTCCAACCTAAAGGTGAGTGAGCGTAGCGAACAAGCTCCAACCCAAAGGTGAGTGAGCGTAGCGAACAAACTTCAACCAGGACGTGATTGAGCCATGCGAACGAGATCATCTTGAAAATTAAACGTAACGGTACTTTCTTTCCATCGGTCTGTCTTAGGGGAAACCTATCAGCCTACGGGTCAGCTAGTTTATTTATACTATTTGAGTATGTGTAAACATAACCCCCAAGACGGATCGTGCTAGTATGGTTGTATATTAAATTTGTGCATTTATCGTTGTTTTGTGTCCCTATGACGGATCGTGTTAGCATGATTGTAACTTAAATTTGTGCATTTATCGTTGTTTTGTGTAGCTATAATTTTTTATTTTTGGTTTTTTTCCTTTTAAATGCCTCCAACGCGACGAAAACGAAACATAGACAGGAGGCGTAATCGTGATAACGATCACCACAGCTACAGTACAGTGGCGCGTAATAGGCTTAACTCATCACAGTCAGCACCTGACCCTAAATCTCAACTATTAGGTTACAAATGCGCCCTAACACTACCCCAAAACGACTTTTCGTTCTCAATTGGCCCTCTATCAATGACCTGTGTTGCCTGTACAGCGAGGCATTTTGAAAAGGAGAAAACCGGCCGGAATGCTCTAGGTTTATTAATAACGAAGATAAACATGGTCTGAGTTACACACCAGTAATCTTTGAGTTGACTCTTTTAAACTCATTGTAAATATGTCTGTTATTAGTTTTTAAATAACTCCTGTAATACTTTGAAATTGCTCGAATTTGAGCAACATGTACGCTAGTGTTTATTAAATTACAACATAACAATTCATAGTGATATTTCTTAAGATCAGTTTTTATTTGAAATATGGCTTAATCAGCTGAGTGTATATACCATTAAAATTTGAAGCTTTGGTAAATAGTTATTTGGTAATAATTGTTCGAAGTTGAGATTTCATCGACTATGGTGAAAAACCCCCGATTTTTTTCAATTTTTTCGCTATATAAATTATATAAAGTGAAGTAAAAATGTTAAAATTTGCTGGAATATAAAATTTGAGAATATTTCCTTTAATTTGATAGGCCTCTCGTCAAAATCGAACAAGCCGTTTCGGAGGTGTGATTTTGTAAACTCAAGTCTACATAATTTTTGCACCGACAGTAGGTCTTACCATGAGACCTATGGTAATAGCTACTTCCCGATAGGGAAATTTGCTAAAAGGTTTCATTTTATACAATTTATGATTTTTTTACAGATTATTTTAGATCTCAGATTATGTTGTAGTAATTCTTTTACAATTTGCAGAATCAAAATCAAAGCATCAGTGGAACATACCAAATGTATGATAGAATAAAGACTGACAGATATCCAATAGATGAAGAAAGTCAAGATGTCCAAATACAAGATGTGTTTTCTTTAGAAAATTCCCCTGTATCAATTTTTGACGACATGACAATCAAAGAAGAACAAGACGAATTGGAGGATAGCAAACCTTACTACGAGTTGAACACAACTTATCCCATGGATGTGCAGAGGCCAGGAAAATCCCTACGGTGTAAAAGTTGCAGTCGAACCTTCAATCATCACTGGAAATTGATGGTCCATGAAAGGTATTGTTCAAAGAGGTTTCAATGCTCTGAGTGCAACAAGTGTTTCCTAACCTCAACATTGTACAAGAGACATAGGCTGAAGATGAACTCCTGCTATTGTGCAGAACACCTCAGGTATTGTTCTGAATGTGACATCAGTTTCCGAAGAAAGTGGCAATTGATGTTCCATGTCCTTCGACACGACACATAGATTTGTATGTGCTGATACACTGTACATTCTGATGAGCAATTCCAACAACACCTCTCTGAGGCTCATTCCTACTAATTATCATAGTTTACTTTCAATTTTGATTATAAATCCAGGTAGCTGTTCAAGTTTTCTAAGTGATCCTAAGGCAAGAGATTGGATTACTGTAAACCTGTAAACCGGGATTCGTTCATGAATTAGGGTGACCGAAAAAATCTGTGTAAATGTTGTGTGGGACTGGGAAATTTTATATTTATAATAATCAACATTCAACAGTAATATTTGTCAATAATTGCTGTGTTTTCCTTGTTTGTGTCGTTATGTTGAGTAAGAAAACCACAATCGTAGGATCATGACAATGTTGCCGAACTGTGGTGCTCTTGGAAGTCACTGTGATTGTAAGGAATAATATTAGGTACTGATGTTGCCGCAATGAAGCGAGACTATCACAGACTCAATTGCAGAATATTCACAGCTATTGACCAAGGGTACTGATATGGTTGCTGGATATGACCACGAATATTACTGTGATTATGAGAAATCATCCTTTTTGGATGTTGCCCTAATCGGGAACATGATGAATACTTCTGCTACCAGGGGAAATGAGTATTCATCAAGGGTGCATGACTTTTTTGTTCAAACTTGGAATTTGAGTGAAACATTTTCTATGGAACCTCGTTTAAAATCTTGGAGGTAAACATGATTTGTTGTTATTTCAGTTGGAATCGTTGTTTCTGTTCCTATTACCCTTTGACTATTGATAAAAATATATATTCCATCCCCATGTTAACGTTGTGTGTGGTGTAGTTGTCGCCAGTTTTTTAAACCAAAATCGCTGTAGTTGATGTGAGTCACTGATAGATTGCGCTGATCTAAATTAATATTAATTTCTGTCGAACACATAAACCTTTTTACCAAGCTAAATAAATATAATGATTTATTATTGTGAGCCATAGCAACTGTTATGACCCAACAACTTGGTCAGCAAAAAAAGATATGGTAGAAAATATAATTTTAGATACTAGCGCATTCTGTGACTGGTTCACATAACTACATTCTTTTTTCATAAAATATTGGCAACAGCTGGTCCATTTTGATGGGATGTCTAATTCAGTATCCTATAGTCAATGCTATAAACACAATATTACCAAACCATTTTTTAAATTCGGAATTCTCGTTCCTGCAGATAATTCAGAGATGTGAAAGATAAACTTTTTTAATGTTCTCTTAATATATTTTGTACATTTGTAAGCATTCCTATTTTATCTTATTCAACCTCTACCATTACCAATATATGTTAATTTATTGCAGCATGTTTTTGCACTTGTTAACTATGTACTTTTTTGATGAATTAACGATATTTGTTAAATTTATTTATTACTTAGTAATTGTAAATACCAGGATTTAAAATAATATGTACCCATTTTTGTTGTTTTTACTTAAGTGTAAGTTTTGTATTGTAGCCACACAATTTTTATTTTTTAGCTTTTGGATTTTTTTTTGTTAGTTGTGTAATTGTAGTGTGGATGAAAATGAAAAATTGTAAATATCCCAACTTCGCAATTTTGATATTGAATAGTGTGACAAAATCTGTGGTTGACAGGACTTTCTTCACTTGATCAGCTTCGAACTTAACTCTTTCAATGCGGCCGTCATGTTTACTCTTGAAAATTCCACTTATCTCAATGATAAGGAATCAGTCGCCGGCGACTGACCCGCACGCAATGTGTTAAACTTAAGTTTGGTGCACCCAGCATATTGTTTTGCAGTTTTGGAAATGTGCTATTTGTTTTTTCCTAGTACTGTAGTTTGTTTGTTAGGCTGTGACTCCACTGGCCGTAGATTATCATGAAATTGTAGCACGCTACACGCGACGGTTGCACAATGGCTCCACAAGCAACATAGTAAGAACCACAATCTGCAGAGTTATCGTATGCTCTGCGGCTTGACTAGCAGTTTAGTGTGGTGGTAGACGTGACCCTGGATCTATCATGCCGCAGTTTAAGATTGGTAATATTGCATTCACTGTACTTTTGGTTTATAGAAAACGCTGGTCACATAAGAGAAAATAATGGATACACCTAAAAATTAGCAACAAAAAGTCTAAAGGGATGTTCCACATGTTGAAAGTATTCATTAGAATATTATCGAAAACCTCAAAACTTCCAGTTTCAAACGTTTTTGTAATTTTCTTCACCTTTATTATATGAAATAGGGCATTTCTTCTTATAATATAATAACCTCGCAAACAAGAACAAGCTCCATTGTTCACAAAAGAATTCACAAAACTCAACTTATGTATGACACTAAACAAGTCTAACAAAATAAAGCGTCAAATTGTCTTGTGCCTATATGTGTTATTCTGTTGACTGAGCCTTGACGTGGCACTACAACCTACAGTAGTGGAGCCACCTGATTGGGGCAAAATGTAGCGCAACAGGTTCCATTTCCCTATGACGCTTCAGACTGCGGCGCACTGTAATATGAATCGTGCTGCATACTGTCACTCGTGGAGCCATATCTTGGTTTGATCACTACCTTCTCATTTATTTGACTTGTCAATAACACCTTGTTGCGCAAAAAAACTACAGCCAGTGGAGCCGCAGCCTTAGTGTATGGCTGGTAGTGGTTGGGCTCCGTCCTGCCACCAATGGTTAGTAGTTAAGTGATAATGCCATGATCTTGTTGGCAGGAGCAAACCTAACTAAGGGTAATAGTTTAAGATTCTCTGGCAATAAAAACTTTCCCTATGTGGAGAACTACCTCCACTACAAGCCATACGATGATTTACTTGATTTTTACTGTAGCGTTATTGTTTATGTATAACAACATTCTATAGAAAACTGAGTTCTTGGTTAGTTAAATTAACGTTCACAACATGTATATTATTTTAGGTTGTCTTTAATATAGTTTGACAGCATACAGAGTACAACCTAATTTGGTTTTCATTTAGGAATTAGGTATTCAATCATCTTTTTTAAAAAATTGACATTAAAACATACTGAACACTTAAAATTAGTTAATGCATGAGATTGAGAACAACATACTGTATCATTTTGATTGTTATGATGGCTATCTTTAATTTACATGTATTAACTGATTTCTTACAGATAACTTGTAGTATTGTGACTTGTAAAGAAAAGCCTTCTTTGGCTTTCTGTTGCCTTTAATTTACATGTTTTGACTGATTTTTGATAGATAATTTGCTGTAGTATTGTGACTTTAAAAAGAAGAGCTTTTTTTGCTTTCTTTTTAAATAAAAAATGTATTTTGTACAGTTTGAATATAAAAAAATACTGTAATTACATACGTTTTTCCTTTACCATCGTAATAACTAACTTATTAATAACTATTATTTTGTTTTGAAATAATGCCTATTGTTATGTATTGATTAGTACGTCAATGAAACCATTATTGTTCATTATTTAATTATATTTAGGTACCTATTATCATCAAGCTATTAATTTATATTATTGTTTGGTATACTACAACTTAAGTACAAAACTTGTAAAAAATTAAAAAAATAGTTTTTATTTGAATGTTGTTGTTTTTATCCAGGAGATGGCTTTTTTTGCTTTTGTTTAAAAGTTCACATTTGTACACATTGAAAATAATGAAAAGTAAACACCCATTAGATTTCACTAAGTTTTGTGGTCCAACTGAAAACAAAGTTTTGGAGCGTATTATAACAAATGAGATGTATATTAATGCTGAAGTTATTTTATTGCGTTCTATACTGGGGCGGATCCAGGAATTTAGTTTTGGAAAGGGGGGCACCACCTAGCCCATTCCCGTGAACCACCGGGGGCGGGGGGGGGGGGGGGTTAGGGGGTAATTGAATACTGTATTGGAAAATTTGACTTTCTGGTATTCAAAAACGTAATTTTCAGCCATATTTTAAATATAAATCTTCCATATAGAAGCTAGATTTCTTATTTATTTCCTTATATTTTGGCAACATTATTAATGTTTAACATATACACCTGAAAAGGTTTGATTTTAGAGAAACCAGTATTTAAAAATAATTTATTGCTAACTCTATAAGAAATGATTTTATTAAAAAAATGTAGGAATGGGATGCAATAAATTAATATTGGTGCAGGCATTCTAGACAATTCTAACATAGTACTAAAAGCTTTGGGAGCGACGGTTGGCGAAAACTAACATAATTTTCACAATTACTATCGATTGTTTACTCAATTTTGATTAAGCTACCAAGCATTTCCTGTACTTTTATTTAAAGTTAAGTTTAATGGGCAAATAAAATAAATAGTAAAACAACTGCATTATTTTGTTTGGTTTCCAACTAGTTTAATATATTATTTTTTTATACACAGCTTTTGGGGGGGGAGGGGACCCGTGCCCTCTGTGCCTCCCCCTAAATCCGCCGCTGGTTCTAAACAAAAGAATTTCTTTTGCACTGAAAAAGGAATCAGCAGTTTGAAACTATTTTGAAAATGATTGTGGTCTTATTAACTGGCTGTGTAGCTGAGTGGTTATAGTGCTCGCCTACTAATCAAAAGGTCGCCGGTTCGATCCTGAGAAAAGTCAGAAGCTTTTTGATGGTTCAAAACTGGACCCAGCTGTTCCTGATCATTGGGCTTTAAATAAATGATCCTGGCTAATGAAACAGCTGATCTTAGTCAGTAACAAAGCTACACAGATCATCACACTTCATTCTACACTCATCCTTCACACATATTTGGGTTAAAATACGCACCTAGGTGGCGTCCCCATCTCAATGATTGATTGGTTGATTGATTGATATTCACCTAAAGACAGGATTAATGGAAGAAGAAGACTCCGAATTTTGTATGTACTGTGTTTCTCACATTTTATCATCTCGTGGTTGATAGAGCATGAGCATTTAAAGAATAATCATGCTGGAGTTCTGACATTGATTTTTATACTAAAGGTGATATTTTGGATTCCGCAATGAGAAGAAAGGTAAAAACAATTGTTTATCGTTGTTTGACTTGTAGAAAACTGCAAGTAAAACCTTTAAATGTTTCAACGCAACCATTACCTCGTGAGCGAACACAGAGTTGTCCAGTTTTTCAAACAACCGGAATTGATCTGATGGGCCCACTCTTCTTAAACAATGATGAAAGGTGCTGGATCATTATATTTACTTGGCCTTAGTACTGATCTGTAGGCCTACACCTAGAGATCCTGACTTCTCTAAATACGTCTGCCCTAATACTCAGACGCTTCATATCAAGAAGAGGAAGACCGAAGATTATACACTATACAGTCAGATAATGGGGCTAAATTTGATGGACTTGACAACGCATTTGATGATTTAGATTGGATCAAAATTGAAGAGGAATGCAGTACTCAGGGGATAAAGTGGAAATTTAATGCTCCCACTGCACCATGGTGTGGAGGATAGTGGGAGCGGTTAATATGTGTGTTAAAGGACCTTAAGAAAAATTTAGGACGAGCATCACTGTGTTATGAAGAACTGGTGTGAGTGTATTATGAACAGCCGTCCCTTGACTTGTGTCAGTCACAACTCGAATGAACTTACTCCCCTCAACCCGTCCTTATTCCTTTCAAGTGTTCCGAGCTCAGAAATGACTGACCTTGATGAGCTTGAAAATTGAGTATTCAGAAAAAACTATGTTTTCTTCAAAAGCTTCAAAACCGACTTCAGATACGATTCCATAAAGAATATCTGGGATTTCTGCGAACCACAAAGAAACATCAACAACATAAAAAAATTATCAGTACAGTAGGTGATTTAGTTTTAGTAGGAAATGATAATAAGAGATTGGAATGGGTACTGGCACGAGTAACTAAATTGATTCCTGGACGTGAACTCTTCGTCTTGTCAAGTTAAGAACGACGAAAGGTGACATTTTGCGCCTTGTTCAGATGTTATATACATTAGAAATTGATTATCAAGACAACTTTTTTGATGGGAACTTCGAACCTGAGATGACACCACCAAATACTACAATTGACACTGATGGATAAAGCCGGGTTTTCCTAGCCGCGGAGTCGGCGAGCGGAGAGAGGAACGCGGAGAGCGAACTCCACTTGTCTTAGGCAATTTAATGTTACTGTTTTCCTAGAAGCGGAGCGGAATGCCATGTTAATTTCAATTCCGCTCTCCGCGTTCCTCTCTCCGCTCGCCGACTCCGTGCCTAGGAAAACCCAGCTTTAACAACTACTGTGAACCAGAAAGAAACTCTCATGTTACCACAGGTCCAATAAAGAACCACGTAAAAACCCGAAGTGGCCGAGAGATAAAAACACGGGAAATCCTAGACACGTGAATGGTTTAAACAAATTGTACTGTTCAAGTATTTGACGTTTTCCGATTCTACGAATTAAGTGTTTGTAAATTGTTGTCTAACTCCTCAATTTACAAAGGTGGGGAGTGTGTTAAAAATTGAATTAAAAAGACTTCGGTTTCATTAACCACTATTTAAAAGACTTTGGTTTTATTACTTTTTGTAATTACCATATGATCATATAGTTGATTTATGTTCTGACTTCTTACAAACATTGTTTTGTGAAGTTATGACAACATTTTAAGAATATAGTTTTAAGAAGAGCAGGTTTTTAAGTTACTCGTTAGAACCTTAAATAAGGGAATATTTATTATTTTTAACGGAATTTTCCCTAAAGTTGTAAAAGTAACAATATAAGTAGGCTACAATAATTAACTGCCAATAGATTTTTCTTTTTCAAGGCTCGCCTGAAATAATTCAGGTATGTACAGAATGTATAGATTCTCAAAATGCATTTCTTGTTGACAACCAAATTTAAAATAAGTACAACGATGAATTGGTAAACTCCCCAACATTGTATCTAATCGACACAAATGTATATTTCGTATCAGAGCATTGTATGCTATTTTACACAGTTTGTATCCGAACATTGTATCGCATTTGACACTAAGCTGTATTTTATATAGCGTTTGATACACAGGTGTATTTGTTCACTGGTAATATAGGAGAGTGCTCGACGCCGCTCGTACACGGTGAAAGATTATCCCAACATAAGCTTGCCTCTGACAACAACGACCTACACGATATTGTCAATTAACTTTAATGTGCCCAAGCCAGTTAGAAGTAAACTTATAGGAGTTTAATATTCTAAAATGTGCTATATAATTTATAGATATTAAATTATATAGCACGACCAAACGGGTTACCTAATTCTTAGGTTTAATTTGTAATTAAGTTTCCTTAACTCTTAGATATTTGATCTACTTTATTGGCACAATTTTTGGTCGGAATAATACCGTGTAACTTGTGTCTGCAAAGTATAAAAATAAATACGAGCCTTTCCTTTGTCTGAAATAACAGCAAGTTAAATTTATTGGAAATCTGTAGATATTGTAGGGATGGTCTTAGATTTTCTATTAAATCATGAGCCGGGGACACATTATGACGCTCCTTTATTGCAAAACCCGGGGATGTATAATAGCAATAGTTGACCACTCTCGTAATAATTGCCCAGGGTGCATCCAAAGCACTGCAGTGGAGCAAAGATATAACGTATAGTTCTAGTATCCTAATGTTTTTTTTATCTAGGCCTTTGAAATTCTTTAAGTTTCCTGTTAGAAAAGGTCTTGTTACTCAGCCTTTTGTTCGATAGCACAATTAATAGTTGACCAATAATAATGGTGTCCGGGTTCAGAATAGAATAGATCACTGTGCTTCCTCTCCTTATTTCTAACATATTGGAAGTAAGTTACAGAGGAAACATTCAATGATACACTTAAGTCAAGCACTAGACCCTTGTGTCTACGACTATGTCGAAATCCGCCCTCGCCATCATGTACTACGGTGGAGGAAGGTCCTGTGCTGATAGGAATCGCCGCACAGTACTCGTAAATATGGTGAGTTATAAGCGCACGTTCGTCCCTTGATTCCGTCCCTCATTTTGTTGTCATTTCGTCACCAGCATGGCAACCCATAAGGCCCATGAAATTGTTTTATTTTAAATTAATTTGTTGTGCTTATTTCTGAGCCACAGTATCTAGTACTGTTTGTTACTCGCCACAGCGTCGCGACGCTAGCGTAGTAAGCATAACGCCACCAAACCAACATCAGTTACTGTGACGTCACCGGGCCACACAGTGAGTATATTAAAACATTTTCAACGTATTGGTCGAGTGTAGATTAATTGACATTATAAAAACTATAAGAAATATTGCAGTTTCAGTATATAGTTAGTGAATATCCGAGTTATTAAATACTATAGAAATTTTTTTGTGTGAAAATATTATGTACAATTGTTGAATATTAATAATAATAGTTAGTATCCAGTAGTCAATTATATATCTAAGAAACTATTAATTT